AAGTAATGGAAGAGGGTTTTGAGGCAGTTGTAAGGGAGATGGAGAGGCTATTATGCAATGACTCCACAGCTGCTAGAATGAGGGCCTTGAACGAGCTACGGAGCTTGAAGCTGAGATCAAACCAGTCGATCTCGGAGTTTTGTGTCGTCTTGGAAAAACTTGCGCATAAAGCAAACCCCGATTGTACTATTGCTGAGAGATCATTAGAATACGCACAGATTTTATTGGACAACGTGAGAGAGTGGCCAGAACATGTTTACAGTTACTAGCGTACTGCACAGCAGCGACCCAAGAGGAAAGCGTAACAGTGAGATCAAGCAATTGGATCACTACTAGCAGCAATCGAAAACATGTATGCGAACTCTGATTAGGGTGGTACCTCTACAGGTAGTGAGTGGAGAAAAGAGCGGATGCATATAGAGGTCACAAGGAAATGGGATGGGCTCAAGTCATCCGATAGGCTACCCGCCGTAGAGCAAGAGAGGGTGTACCCGGACAAAAGGAAGGATGAACCTGAGACCCGCAAATGTTTCAACTGCGCTCAAAGTTAGGGCATATTGCCAAGGAACTGTCCACTGAAGGCGCCCGTAGTCTAGGAACGATCAGAAGACGAGCGAAAAAACGGGATCAAACGGTAGGAAGGAAACAGACCGCATATCTGACATTGTGCGGGAAGCCCAGTCAATGGGAATAAGGTCAGACAAACGGTCCCCTGTAGCAAATCTTGTCGGAGAAAAGTCATCAGCTTTAGTGAAAATGCTACATGGAACCTTCCCGGCGCTTATTGATACAGGGTCAATGGATTAGTATTGTCCCAGTTGGACTACTGGAAAGAGCGCAGAAAAGCGGATTTGATGTCGATGCTCTCAAAGTAATTGATCGCAGAGCACTTGAGTCTGTCTTCGATGCGTCCAACAATAGAATGCAATTCTTGGGCGGTGTAGTCATAGCTGTGAGCATTGAAGGAGGGACAGAAGCGGAAATTGCGTTCTATATTTCCAAGGAAAAAGGGCAAGAAGTGTTGCTTGGGACGAATGCCTTGGAAAAACTGGGAGTTCATATCAAGTTCCCCAAGCCAACGAATGAGTCCATGCAAGGATTAGGTGACTCTGGAAAAGTAACGGTAGCACGAAGAACGTATATACCACCATATGGGTCTGCAGTGGTAGAAGTGTCTCGACGGCAGTTACAAGAACAGTAACGTGGAGAGCTGGGTGCCATGCGCCTGTATCAGAGGCTGGCCTGCCAGGCAGTATTTAAGATAGAAAACGGATAGTGGCAAACCCCGCGATCGATCAAGGAGAGAAGTGAGCTATGATGCTGAAAGAGGTGGAAGAAATGGTCAATGCGAGTACGGAGAATGGGAAAGAAGAAGGATGGGAAAATTTGGAACCAGTGGTGTTAGACGAAGGAATTTCCAAAGTCGAGAAGGAGGTTAGGGCGCAGAAATTATATGAACAGATCGCCCAGAATATGTCTGGTGGAACAATTCCTGAGGATATACGGAAATTGTTAGACGAAAATGGGCAAGCATTCGCTGTGTGTAATCAGGAACTGTCAGCCACAATGATCTAGAATGAGTATGAGAATCGCGGGACCACCATCCTCCTATAAAGTTAAAGGCGAGACCAGTCCCCCTGGCAATGAGAGCCAAGTTGAGGGAAATGCTAGACGATCTTGTATCAAGGAAGATAATCGAGAAAAAGCGCGTCTGCATGGGCTTTCCCTATAGTGTTGGTAGAGAAGAAGGATGGTAGTTTGAGGCTCTGCGTTGACTACCGTGAGTTAAACAAGTGCATTAGGCAGGACGCCTACCCAATGCCAACGATAGATGCGCTACTACAGAGCATGGCCGGTAAAAAGTATTTTTCCACACTGGACCTTTACAGCGGGTACTGGCAGATACCGCTTACGCAGAAAGCGAGAGAGAAAACAGCCTTTGCGACAACCGAAGGCCTGTTCCAGTTTAGAGTCACCCCGTTCGGGCTAAGCACATCACCAGCAGTATTCCAAAGAATGATGGATACTGTATTGCATGACTTACTGGGAAACGAAGTGTTCTGTTATATTGATGACATAATGATTTGTACTCACACGAGGGAGAGGCAATCGTAGAAGCTTTTAGGACCGCTGTTCACGAAAGCCTAATCAAAAGCCGCAGGATTACGACTGAAGGCGGAGAAGTGTGTACTGATGGAAACGAAAGTGTCGTTCCTCGGTCATGTCATTGACGAGGCTGGGATACACACCGACCCCCAGAAAACCGATGCTGTGAGGAATTATCCTGTGCCCAAAAATGTCAAAGAGCTGAGAACTTTTCTAGGGATGGCAGCCTTTTATCGAAAGTTTTGCCTGAACTTCGCGAAAACTGCAAGCCCTCTTTTCGAGTTGACTTCATCAAAGCGAGTGTGGAAGTGGACAGAGGCTTGTGAAGAGGCGTTTGAGAAAGTGAAACAGTTCATTTGCTCTGCACCGGTACTGAGTCAACCTGATATGGAAAAGGCACGAAGTGGGGAAAAACCTTTTGTCATATGTACCGATGCGTCTTACACCGGACATTGGGGCCGTACTAGCGCACGAGGACGACCATTATCTGCACCCTATCTACTTTGCATCAAAGACCTTAAGCAAAGCAGAGAAACGTTACCATGTAACTGATCTAGAAGCCTTAGCTGTCATGTTTGCTATCAAAAGGTTTCACATGTTCATCTACGGTGTCCGTACGACCGTTATGACCGATCATCAACCGTTAACAGCGTTGTTCAAAAGGAATAATGTCTCAGCAAGAGTGCTTAGATGGTCGCTTGAAGTGCAAAGATACAACTAGAAACTTAAGTAGGGTGAAGGCGAAGCGAATGTCGTTGCTGATGCGCTAAGCAGAGGAGTACATGTAGAAGAAAGTTCGGTGTCTTTGCAAGGGCTCAACGAAGCGGTAGTGAATGTATTGAGCGTAGGTAAAAAGACGAAAGTGGGCTCAACAGTCAGTTGGAGCCCAGACGAAGATTTTTCGCAGATAGTGGACGCTATTGACAAAAATGACGTGGACCGTACAGTGAGGATGAGAGGCACAAATAACTGGGTCCGAGTGGCAGATTTTATTGTTGAGAATGGAAATCTCAAGATGTATAATGAGGAGGGAGCACTGGTATTTGTGGTTCCCAAAAGCGCAAGATATGAGATCTTTCATGAAGCCCACGCTGGTGCGGTGGCAGGCCATTTTAGTGCGTTTAAGTTGCTGAAAAAACAACTGCGGCAAAAGAGCGTAATTGGCCGAACTATGACTCAAGACGTGCGCGATGGCACCGACAGGAATCGCCAACAGTGTTGTGTTCACAATCCCAGGACGGTGGGGGTACCATGCTGAAGCCATCTTGACCACCACGTATGAGTATTACGTGGTATGGGTTATTGTGCTAGCAGCTAGGTTAAATTGACACGGTGGGACACAGTAGCCCAGGTCACAGTCATTGACCATTTTCTAGAGTTGCACCAGGCCATACCAACTGCGGATAAGTCCGCCGAAACAATAGCAAACGTGATTTTCTCGCGATGGATAGCCGATGGATGCAGGTGGCCCAAGACAATACTCTCTGATAAAAAGGAGGCGAGTTCGAGAACAAGGTCATGGTTGAGTTGATTGAAAGTCACACAAAATCAAGCCATCATAATGACTAAAAGGGTATAACCCTCGCGAAAATGGCGTTACAGAGAGATTGAATGGTACCATTGTGGCAATGCTGAGGAGGTCGACAAAAGTGCCAACAGAATGGGACAAAAGCACTACACCTTTGTATGCCTCTGCAGTCACATGAACATGACCCCTCTAGGTCACGGTGTGAAAGCCACCCTATTTTTTGCTTGCCATGGACATGACCCGCATGTATCCTTCCAGAGATCGTACCTATGAAGTAACGAAATATCGGTAGTCATGCGTGTGAGTAGAATAGACGATTACAAAGTGGGATTGATGCAATGCATAATGGAGACCCATGAAAGAGTTCGTGAGTACAATGAACGAACGAGAGAGATCATGAAAAACGAGTACGATAGAAGAAATAGAGTAGACACTGAGAGACTTCCAAAATTGGGAGATAGAGTTTATTTACGTGCGCCTAGAGAAAAAGCTCTAAGTTCGCACCCCAAGCTGTCAGCGAAGTGGCTGTGCTCCCTTTCGTGTTCATTGAACAAGTGATAATGCGCGGCCGAATAACCGAATAGGAGAGACACTCAGACAATATCCAGGTTTCAGAACGATATGCTGGAGTTGTTGCGAGCGATAATTTCGCGTCATGAAAGAGTAGATACGATAACTAGTAGAGGAAAAAGAGGGAGAAAACCAAAAGCTAAAGTGAATAAACTGGATGCTGTTGGGTCCAGAAGTGCTATTATCGAGTCCCCTGAAAAGCAGAGGAAGCGACTTTGCCCCAGCTGATTCCGTTAGAACACCGCCGTCGAGGGCGCCGGCTCCCCGAGGGGGGAGGATGTGGAGATCAGGGGGGTCGCCGGCCGAGGCCTGGCGATCTCGAGGAGGTCACCTCGGCGGGGGTCAAAAGGGTCAGAGGGACCCTATAAAAGGGGGCCGAACACTAGAAGGACCGTTCCATTTCCTCGCCGTCAACGCCAGCCGCCAAGGATCAAACAATCGAGGACTTCGTCGATCGACTCCGTCAACTCCTCTCCAGGGCTCAACTACGATTATTCTCTAACTGTTCATCTCTTCAATCTTCTGTTCTATATTTTTCCTAATAAATAATTGTGGTACTGCTGTTCACCGCAGCTCACTGTGATCATCGGGCCTCACACTACAGACTGAATGGTTTCTTGGACCCATGGGTAATAGTTGCGAATGGTGCTGGTGAATTTAGTATCAAAGAAGGAAGCTGAGCTATCTTTTGCTTTTGATTTGTTACTCAATATTCTCGCTTAATCGATTTCTTAACTTAGCCATCAAATTTTCATTTTCAATGGTTTTTTTTGCAGGTGTACATAAATGGAAATGCATGCCGACGGTGGCAATCGGTAGTCCTTGTTCGTACACCCAACAATGTCTCGGTGACTCAACTTGCAACGGCGGTTACTGCCAATGTCCCGGTGGTGGTTCGGCTTTCTATGGAAAATGTAGCAATCCTTCATGCGGTCAGAATCAGGTAGTTCTAACTCTGAAGGCACAGCTGTGAGCCGAGGCGTGTCAGCGCGGCGCCAGCCCCTTTCCCACCACTCACTGAACGCTCGAAGTCGCAACGATAGATGGGAAAGGGGCTGGCTCCACACCACCGCCCGCCGACACGCCCTGACTTATTTCAGTGTTAACGGCTGTACTTCGCGCTTTTTGTGCCGTCGTGTCGGACCTTCGTCTTTTCTCTACAAGCTCTTCTTTTTTCAGGTCTACGTCAACAATCAGTGTTATCCGATGGTGGTCGTTGGTGGTTCGTGTATGAACAACGAGCAATGCACTGGTTATTCCCAGTGCACGGGTGGATATTGTAGGTGTCCAAATGGTGCAATGGCGACCAATGGCATGTGCGATAGAGGAAGCACTGCTTGCAAATCGTATCAGGCAAGAGATTTTCTCTGGAATAATCCGTAATCTTGCTGACTATCTGCACTACTCATGCGCCGGAGTGAACGCCTGCACCCATCAGGTTGCAAACTGATCCCCTCCACCCAGCCCCCTTCCCCCAAAAGCGCCAGAAACAGGGTTTTCTACCCAAAACAAATCCTGCGTAAATTTTAGGGTACCCTGCACGTATTGAACTCCACTGAGTCCAGTAGTAAAGTAGTTCTAATACCGTCAACGAATTAGGGCTGCTACTGTTTAAATGCACTCTCTTTTAGGTGCCGGTGAACAATCAATGTCTGGATAGGGTGTCAATTGGTCAGAGCTGTTCAAATATTGCACAGTGCATAAGTGAGTTCTTCGTTTATACCGAGGGTTCATGAATGAGGTAATCCGGGTAATTGGATTCGGATCTGGGGACTCCCGGTGCGAAATGCGATCCCCATTTTCCCCGTCCCCTTTCCTCACCGACCTTCTCACTATCTCTTCCGAACTTCCTGCTAGGTTTTCCGCAATTTTCCCAAAATGCGACAAGTTTTCCTGGAAAACTGTGGTGGAGCCGGGGAGGGGCGAAGGGGGAAAGGGGCGAAAGGTCGTCATCAATCAACCACCATGGATCGGAGACATATCGCAGCGGGAAATAGCTTTATTCAGTATTGCAAGGTAGGAAGGGGCATCAAAGGCAACGGCTGCGTGTTCCCGTACTCTTTCTTACACAGACTTCTTACTCTTTCTTGCGTCTCTGCCACCCTTCCGTCTGGACCCTCTCAACCGTCGCTGCATACTCAGAAACGCCCCTTCTTGCTATCAGTTATTGACTGCACTAGTTATTGACTGCGACTAACCTCCTTGAATTCCAATGTTATCCATTTTTTGGTCGCATTTTAAGTCCTGGCTGTTAGTTTCAATGAAGCTACACTCCGTATCTGCGGTATGGAGGGGCGAGGAGGGCGCTGTTTAGCGACGGGGGGGGGGGAGGCATTTTGTACTAACATTGCTTCCCTAGTTCCGGTTTACGAATCTCACCATGGTAAAACTTGTGAACGCCTGTGAAGCTGGAGTAAGATCGTCTAGCCACCATCCTAAAACGTGTCAACTCGAGAAAAGGCTACCTAGAATGCGGACGGACATTCTATGAAAAGCCGAATGCCCCCCCCCCCGTCGACAAACTGTGCCGGCGAGGAGTGTAGCTACATATATAATTTGACATTGCGTGGGTGCGTCTTTCTTGTGGACAATTCTATTCATTCGCCAGACAACTGTCCATCCCTGGCATTGTGCTAGAAAAGGAAATGTTCACACTTGTCTCGAAACGGTTGCATCCCCTCCAGGAGAGCGGGCACCACTTTGAAATGCAACATGCGGCCACGCCCTTCCATTTCGAGAATAAATTGACGCTCACCTCCTCAGAGGGATAGAAGTTGCTACCTGAGATGGAAATTGATTCAAAATTTGGCCTCAGCAGTGTGCGCATGGATAGCAGCGCCTTTCCGGTAACCCATCTTCGTCAATGCTACGCTGTACACTTAACGCTCACTCTGCGAGGTGGGCAACCGCGCAAGAGTGTGGAGAACAGTCAAATGCCAGAGGGCGCAGACAACTAGCGCGCTTGGCTATAGCTAGGGGGTGATTAGCCGGTGCGGCCCCGTACCATGCTACGCCAGTAGGCCTAGTCGAAAGGGGATTTGCTATTATTTACCCTCCAGCCTTGATTCACTTTTTAGTGAGAAACTGTACACTTCTGGCAGTAATCGGAGTTCATTCACCTCGCGAAGATCAGGTTCTTCGGTCGTGAACATACAGCATATTTTAACCAATGGTTATATGTTTTTATTCATGTTTTTGTAATTGGGTTGCAGTGAACGCGGTCTGCACGACGACCTGCCAATGCCCGAATCCATACACTTACAATGGGACCTCATGCGTCACCGGAATTTCTTTCTGCAATCAAGGAACAGTGTACGTCGTGATTGTGTGGCCAATATTGCTTTTGAAGCTGCGTTCATACTTTGCGACTCTGGCGATTCAGCGATAGCGCGCTCCACCGCCAGTCGTCAGACAGCTGCAACCGCTGCAAGCAGTATGGTTGAAATGGCAGTGCCATCGGTCCAACGATTAGCGGTGGAGCGCAGTTAGTCGCTACTCGCAAATTTCAAAATTGGGGCGGACTGTATCCATTCAGCCGCTTAGCGGAGATGACGCAGCTTTTAGCACAGGTGAGGTACAAGGTTCTAGATCGATGCGCCAGGGCCAATCGTTGCGCACTGTTACCAGCTTGTCGGAGCGTCAGTACTCTGCTCACTGCATGGGTTCGGAATCTGCTGTCTCAGTATGCCTGTGCCAGGGGTATTCTTCTGTCAGCGGAGTTTGCCGGAATCCAAAGCGAGCGTCAGCGCAGCGTCGTACATTGGGATTTTAGAAAAGTTTTCGGTTGGGATGGAACAAACGTTCTCGGTTTTCAGTCATCCGGCTGCGGCTACAACCAAGTGCTTGTTGGCAGTCAGTGCTATCCCATAGTGCAGGTAAGGCTTCTAGGTTTTCTATATTTCTCGCCGTAAACGTCCATGTTCAGATCGGTGGTCAATGTACCTACAACCAGCAATGTTCGGGTGATTCCACTTGTCAGTTTAACGTATGTCGCTGTCCTTCTGGAACTATTCAAACCGCTGATGGATACTGCAGAAATGGAGGTGGGTGCTTCACTGACGTGCCGTGGCAGGGTTTGATCACTTCTGTGGCTGCGCAATTGAAAAAGAGCGACGTACTACTATTTGGGCATATTTAAAGTTGCATTCATTCGGCCGCTGATTTCAGGAGATCGTGAAAAAAATTAACTAAAAATATGTCACATTGAGAGAGCTGCTTCCGTGATGTCGGCTTTCGACTGCAAATTAGTCTTCAGTTGCGAGCTTGTGGCGCAACTCTGAGAAAGAGGCCAATTTACGATGCCGTTTTAGTGCCTTGACGCGCAGCAAATGGCGCCTCTCGCTACAAGAAGAGGTGGTCTAACGAGAACCTGTAGAGGCCGATCAAATGCCGGTAATACGACAGTGCCCGGTGGTACTGTACTGTACACAATCAACAGTTTGGCAGCGATCTTTTTCTTCGGCAAAGACAGAACACTGGGGGAACAGGTAGGTGCAAGATTGTCTGAAATAGATAAGTAATCTAACTAGTGAGGCCGGTGCTTCAGGACGATGCAAGAATCCGTCTGAATCAATTGTCTACGAGAATGGGCAAGCCATCAATTGCCTGCTTACGCGGTGTCCTTCCGACAGTCACTGTGAACACAGCGATAGTCTACAACAGTACGTGTGCTGTCGATGAGAGATATTAATAAGTTCTTTTGTTGAAATCGGTGAGGTAAAAAAACCACCGATCTATTAGGCAGACAAATAAATATACTGTCAACGAATATAAATGTCTGAGATGAAAGAAGCAGAACCGTAAAGGGTTCAGGAGAAGGAATTGAGAAGGAAAGTGCCAAAGAAAACTCCGAGAACTTTTTCACTCATAAATAGCTTACCTGCTTTTAATACTACAGATAGCCATTGATTGTGAAAGCGATCTGCTATTTAGGGTGAGGAGAATAGAAAGACCCGGGTTCCATTCATTGAAACCCCGACCATGCATTAGACCCAGAGCCATCCACGCAAAACCTCAGGTCCCGGGGAGATTTGAACTCCCGTCGCAGGATTCAGAGTCCTGAGTGCTAACCGCTACACCACGGGACCGAATGCGGTTGCTTTCATAGCCATTGATTGTGAGCGATCTGCTATTTGTCTAGGGTTGGGGAGAATGGGAAGAACCCGGTGCCTTCAATTGAAACCCCGACCATGCATTAGACCAGAGGCCATCGCGACGCAAACCTCAGGTCCGGGGAGATTGAACTCGGCCGATAGCAGGATTCAGAGTGCTGAGGGAAAGGCAATTGCGGACATGTCCACAACGTTACGGACATATCCGCAATGTTGTGGACATGTCCACAACGCACTGAACTCCTTTGCTGGTGGCCCTCGGATTGCAAAATACTTGCCCGGCGCTCCTCTCGCTGTGTTCTCGAATCGATCGATAAACAGGACCCCCCCCCACGTTGCTAACTCAGCCAGGCTCTAGGGTGGTGCTACGGATTTCATCACCATCTGCGGTGAGTCTTCTCATATTGCTCCATTATTTACAAGATATTATGCATTTTTGAAGTCGAGCTGTTACTATCTCAGCGAAATTGAGCGAATTTCCAATCATTCATTTCGGCTAGCAACCAGCCGGGAGCTGGTATTTATGGTATCATCACCTCGTCTCGTAATCTTGTTTTGTACTTCACAAGACACGATCAAGCACAGGATTCCCACATGAATTTTCTCAGACGCTCAGAATGGAAGGAGAGGGCCTGTGGAGACGTGGGGAGGATCCTGGCCCATCATAAAGCCAACCTCTGTCAATCCCTAGTTAGTTCCCCTCTGTGAATGGTGGGCGAGGGCGCGGCGTATCCTGGGGAGAGGGGGGGGGGCGTATGAAGACGCCGCTTCCCCTGGAAGTGGAAAGCTCGTTCACAAAAAAACTTCCTCTTTAGATCTGATCACCGGGTAGATTTTGGGATACGCCACACCCTCCAGGTTCGCTCGACACCACAAGTGCACTTACTTAGATGCGCAGTAGGTATATCAAAGTATAGCTGGGTCAACTGGTCCTTTTTTTTCTTCCAGTCTGATATGCGGCTGTTACTAGGATTTGGGCCTTGCACTCTCCTTCATTGTAGGATTGTTATGTCATTTGAATGCACCGTAGGCATAGGGCAAGCCTGCGCTTGTCGCTGACAGTGCTGTTCACTTCTAGAAGTGTGGGATCCCGCTGGTGAACATTTCCTTCATGTGACCTTCAAATGCTGAGACGTACTCCCTTTTTCTACATGAACACAGCTTCCTGAAGCGCTTTTCTCCGAATCAACCTATTTACGAAATGAGCCACGAGCTAGACTGCCGAAGTCTCAACAGCAGTCACTTGAAGGATGATGGTTCATGACACACCTCTCCGAGCCAGTCGTCGTGTTTGAAAAATATTAACTGGCCCCTCTCGTTACTCTCCTATCAGATTAGGTCAAATATATCATCGATACCTCGTCATCGTTTTATATATTGACCTAGTCTGATAAGAGATTTTGTAAGGAGCCACGGTATCCGGTTCATTTGTTTGTGATGGTGTTCGCATTCATCTGCCCAGTTCTGGCTCTTTCTGACCCCGTCGTAGTCACAGGGGCCTGCGTGGACGTCATTTTACTTTGAATAGGCTTTAACTCTAACTAGCCGAAAGCTATTACATACATTAGTATCTCTGATCTGTGTTGATCGTCATGTTAATTTGGAAGTTTTGTTTCTACAGAGTATAAAAAAAATTTTTTGTTCTGAAAACTTTTGTGTGTAATGAATCAAACGCAGCCTCCTTGGTAATTAGAAAATTTGAGGAAAAAGTTTTGCTGCTTTGAAAGGGAAGATTTCATAAATGCTGTTCTCTGAATTCTGGCCTCCTTCTGAATGTTCCTTGCTTCTGTGTGATGATTTTTTGTGAAGAGCGCAAAAGCTTATGACACGTGGGATTCAAGCTATCTCCGACCCTAGTACTAACACGGCCCAGCGATGCTTAACTTGCCACATCGGAAAAGCGGAAATATCCGCACTGTTGTGAGTGGACGAGCAGCTAGATGGTGTGTAGGATATGAGTGCTCCTGGCTGGTCGATGATCTGAGGAAGGCGGAGGGGGAGAGGGGGGTGGTTAATTAATAGTATGGATCAACATGCAAAGGTGTACAAGGAATAGCTCAGTAAGTCATCGTATAGGCCTCACCTATTTGGCCAGCACTAGGATTGCCAGATTACGGGTAGAGCAAGGTGTTCGGCGTTGATTGATTGATTCATGGTGCAAAAGTGCTCGCTTGAGAAGGAAGGAGAAGTTCAGCATTCGCAGAATCGCGGGTTAAATGACAGAGTACTCGGTATGAGCAACTTCAGGAATGGTAAAGGGTGTAAGGGGGGGGGGGGGAATCCTATGAGAATGTCGTATTTGACCCGTCACGTGGGCCGTATGTGCCAAAAGTGATAGCGTTGAGAGATCAACATTGGTTTACCAGGCGCTGCAGGTGGAGCAGATGGCCCTAGTTTTACATGACTTCATTAATTTAGTGAACATGTTCACTTCTTGTTTCTTCACATGAAATTATTGTAGTTTATTAGGTTGTCCGGAAAGTTCTCAGCGTTTTGGGTGTTTCACTTTAAACGATCGTAACTTTTTTAATACTCATCGGATTTAATCGAAATAGGCACCATTCGAATCAGCACACTTTTGCCAATGTGACAGCAGTCGAGAAATCCCATCAAAGGAAAAACTGGGTGGTCGAGAATCCACGAAATCACGAAGGTCTTTTTTGCCTGGTCCTAATTGATGAAGTATTTTCCAGCAAGGAAGTTCTGAAAATGTTTGAAAAGGTGATAGTCGGTTGGTGAAAGGTCTGGAGAATATGGCGGTTGAGGTAGAACTTCAACCCCCAATTCGTTCAATTTATGGATAGTGATTTGTGAAACGTGTGGGCGGGCGTTGTCATGCAAAGGAATCGGACCCTTTCTTTTGATAAGTGTTGGCTGCATCTGACAAAATTTTCGGTACAATTCGTCGATTTCTTCACAGTAGGGTTCTGCTGTGATGGTTTGGCCTGGTGATAAAAAGTTATAGTGGATCACACCAGCCGATGACCACCAAGCCGTGACCAGAATCTTTTTTTCGTGAGGGTTCGGCTTTGAAAATTACCTCGGTGGTTCGTCGAAATCCAACCACTGTCCGGAACGTCTCCTGTTATCATACATGACCCATTTTTCATCACAGGTGACAATTCGGCCCAAAAACAGGTCGTTTCTGCTGCGCAAAAGCAATGCAGAAGGAACCTCGAGACGTGCCGATTCCTGCCGGTCACTCCGATTGTGGGGCACCCAATTGTCGAGTTTTTTCACCTTCCCAATGCGTTCCAGACCATCTGCAACAGTGGATTTGCCAAGGCCTAGCTCTTCTGCTATCTCTCGAACTGTTTGGGATGGGTCAGCCTCCAAAATCCCCCTAAAATCCTCGTCAGATATTGCTTTAGGTCGACCGCTATGAGGTTCATCTTCAAGGCTGAAATCTCCAGAACGAAATTTGTTGAGCCATTGCCGCACAGTGCTTTCTCTAGCACTATTGGGCCCCCACACCTGGTTAATTTGTTGAGCTGTTTCGATTGCGGATTGCCCCAATTTATAGTCGAAGAAAAAAATCGTCCGAAGTGCTCTTTTCACATGCTTGAAAAAATCTTGAAAAAAGGGGGTTTATCAAGCAATGGTGAAACGGCAATTATACCATCAGATAGCGCAAGAAATTCTCTACAGGATGTGCTACTGAGAAGCAAGGCAGAATGAGTTTTTAATCAGCAGTGAATGTACAAAAAATAGGTGCACAAAACGCTGAGAACTTTCCGGACAACCTAATATATTCTATGATGAACATCCATATAAAGGCATATCCACGTATAGGACACACTTTAGCTTCGAACGCGAATTTTTCCTTCTCAAATCACATTCTTTTGGGCAAAGCGTGCCTATTCGTTATGCTTATTTTGACCGTGACAGTGTACTGTTTGATGTGACACTCGTGATACTATCATTCGCAAATGAGAACGACGTTCAGTGAAGTCCAGTTGTAAGGAGGACAGTAGGAGATCCACCATTTGTCCATTCCAAGCTGTTTATTTTTTTATTGTCTCCCGAGCTGTTTATTTTTCGATTAACTTGAGCGAATGGCACAATTTCGGTTACGCCACGTATCCACATCATGAAAAGTGCAGTAACGTTCGGACGTGTGCGCTTCTACAGCAATATGTCCCTCTGAACAAAGCCAAAGACTGTGGTTTTGTAGAAATGTTCCGATGTTCGAAGGGGCGCAGTTTGCCAATTTTTGAAAAAATCCAAAAAATCGGAACTTTTGACAAAAATCGCGAAATCCGGGATTCCGCAGTGGGCGGAGTCTCCCGTGGGGGCGGAGCCTACGAGCGAACCTACCGACACACTCGGGGCGGCGTCTGGACGAGTTTTCCGGGGCTCTTTTGGCTGCTGCGGCGGTTGGACGAGTTTTCCGCGGCGAATTTCGCGCGCGGCGGGGGTCTTTCGCGCGCGGCAAAACATGATTTGAGATCGCTGGGGGCGGCTGAACATACTGACACACTCCCCTGACGGGGGCGGCGCTTGGACGAGTTATCCGTGCTGTTCGCTGCCCAGTGGGCGGAGTCTCTCGCGGGGGCGGGGCGGGGTCTTTCCTGTCCTAGCGGACCTAATGACCCTTTTGGACGAGTTGTCCGCTCCGTTGAAGCCCTATGGGGCCAGTTTTCCCTGTTGGACGAGTTTTCCGCGGCGAATTTCGCGCGCGGCGGGGATCTTTCGCGCGCGGCAAAACATGATTTGAGATCGCTGGGGGCGGCTGAACATACTGACACACTCCCCCTGCCGGGACGGCCCTTGGACGAGTTATCCGTGCTGTTCGCTGCCCAGTGGGCGGAGTCTCTCGCGGGGGCGGGGTTATGTCGCTCCTCTTCCAGCGCACCCGACTGACCCTTTTGGACGAGTTGTCCGCTCCGTTGAAGCCCTGTCGGGCCAGTTTTCCCTGTTGGACGAGTTTTCCGCGGCGAATTTCGCGCGCGGCGGGGATCTTTCGCGCGCGGCAAAACATGATTTGAGATCGCTGGGGGCGGCTGAACATACTGACACACTCCCCCTGCCGGGACGGCCCTTGGACGAGTTATCCGTGCTGTTCGCTGCCCAGTGGGCGGAGTCTCTCGCGGGGGCGGGGTTATGTCGCTCCTCTTCCAGCGCACCCGACTGACCCTTTTGGACGAGTTGTCCGCTCCGTTGAAGCCCTATCGGGCCAGTTTTCCCTGTTGGACGAGTTTTCCGCGGCGAATTTCGCGCGCGGCGGGGATCTTTCGCGCGCGGCAAAACATGATTTGAGATCGCTGGGGGCGGCTGAACATACTGACACACTCCCCCTGCCGGGACGGCCCTTGGACGAGTTATCCGTGCTGTTCGCTGCCCAGTGGGCGGAGTCTCTCGCGGGGGCGGGGTTATGTCGCTCCTCTTCCAGCGCACCCGACTGACCCTTTTGGACGAGTTGTCCGCTCCGTTGAAGCCCTATGGGGCCAGTTTTCCCTGTTGGACGAGTTTTCCGCGGCGAATTTCGCGCGCGGCGGGGATCTTTCGCGCGCGGCAAAACATGATTTGAGATCGCTGGGGGCGGCTGAACATACTGACACACTCCCCTGCCGGGGGCGGCGCTTGGACGAGTTATCCGTGCTGTTCGCTGCCCAGTGGGCGGAGTCTCTCGCGGGGGCGGGGTTATGTCGCTCCTCTTCCAGCGCACCCGACTGACCCTTTTGGACGAGTTGTCCGCTCCGTTGAAGCCCTATGGGCCAGTTTTCCCTGTTGGACGAGTTTTCCGCGGCGAATTTCGCGCGCGGCAAAACATGGTTTGCGATCGCGGGAGCCGGTCGAACCCACTGACACACTCCCCCGCTGGGACGGCCCTTGGACGAGTTATCCGTGCCGTTCGCAGCCCAGTGGGCGGAGCCTCTGGCGGGGGCGGGGCGGGGTCTTTCCTGTCCTGGCGGACCTAATGACCCAGAGTTTGGCTCAACTCTTCACAGCTCGGAAAATCATTTAATCAAAAACTTACCTGAAATCTCAACACATAACAACTACTTTGAAATGTTCACTAAAGTCGTCGAAAACAAGAAAAACGCCACATTACTTCGGGTTTTCTTCACTCCCTGTTTGTATATGTATCCGATTCTAAATCATGAAGATATGCAAGGAGAACAGCGAGAGGAACGTGTCGAGCAGGAGATGGCTCCGACTACTGGCAGTGAGCAATTCTCTGCGGAAGTAACAGGAGTGAAGTCAAGAAGGAATTTGATGGCTGGCAGGGATCAGCGCATTGGGGAGCTGGCAAGAAAGCTGATGGCAGAATGGATAAATTCGGAGAAAATCCCGAAGCTGCCTGTCGAGTTGACAGACGGTGAGGCTGCATAACGAGCTATCGTCATGCTCATGACATACCTATTTCCCAATTTCACAATATCCATTTGAATACATCATTATTTATAGAAGTTTATTCTCCCTCTGTACCAAGTGAAAGCTACCAGTTCTGCGTTTTTTGTGGCAAGCACGCAAAATTCAATCTACGCTCCCACTTAAAGAACCTTCATGAGGAATCCAGTGAGGATGTGTTGGAGGTAATGTGCTGACGTTTGCTATGGGACGATCCAGATACTGTCATCGACTTCCCATTCAGGTGACAATGAGAATGAGCCGTGGGATACTAGAACGATTGAAAGGGGCGCGTGTTGACTTCAGCCGGATACCAGAACCTTCAACCGACAGAGAATGGGATGCGTACAAATCCATAGTGAAACAACTGCGCAACGGCGGTGTTCCTATCTACGGGGTAGTGTTTCACAGACTGATTCATCATTCATTACTTCAACAGTCTGAGACCGCGTTACAGGCTTACGAGCGACGAGCACTGCAACTTCAGCGTCAAGCAGGAATGAGTTTGCAAATGCAGTTTAGAGAAGAACATGTGGAAGAGGCGCGGCCATCTTTTCAAGAACCGTCCGACGTCATCTCAGCAGGTTGCATTGATTAGACACTTTTGAAGAGTCCCAGTTCGTGTAACGGTATTATGATCCGCTTCCAATTTCAGTTTTTGCCGGAAACCTTCTGTGGCCCGTATATCCCTCGCGCATACCAGTACAGAATCAAGCATGACAAAGAATTCAAAGGTGGGCAGATAATGTGAGTCAGCAAGTTCATTAATCAAAGTCAACTTTAGGTGGATTCAATATCCATGCCCACTTTTTTGCTGAACCTCGCAGAGATCTGATGTTCGCTCATGATGACGACATACTCGACTGCGACTACTTCATACAAGAGTACATTGTCTCAGAAGAGGGTACGCTCGCAGACAGTCACCAGACACGAATGCCCACGGTTGCTCGAAAATTTGGCTTCTTTAAGGATGGCAGAGACGTGCGGATTCCTCACTCAAACTGTGGAGGAAGCTGAAAGAGGACAAACATCCGATTTTGAAGGCGTTCAAGGAGGATCTCAAAACTTACGTTGTAAGAGTTCCGTACACCGTTAGTAGCTCTTCATGTTTCGTATATGCTCTAACTTCAGTTGGTTGGGACCCAACCTCCACAGATGAATGTACTGAAGGGTTGCGAGGTTTACAGCACGTATGTTAGTAGATTCATGTTGATAGCAATGAGAGGACGTCAACGGTAAGCGGTGGTTAATTGCAACAATTGCGTGTTAAGGGATATTGACCAAGTTTAGGTGCGGGAGAATCGTCACTATAGACGACGCCTTGTTCTCCTATTGTATGATCCCGGATTTCCTACGCATAACGCAAGAGGCAGAGGTAACCGTCGGAGTTCGGCTGGGCTTCGTAAAAGCAATGATTGCATTCTTCAAGTTTCTGCGAAGGCACGTCGATCCAAGTATGTTTCGTAAACTTGTTCCCTATTATTAACATAGAGTGTGTTGTATCTGAGCAGATGCCGGAAAACGTAGAAGAGATCTGGCAAAGGAGGCGTATAAGTCTTTGAGACATTACTTGAAGAATCCGAAACAAGAAGAACGGTCAGCTGCATCGTTCAAAGGGGTAATTCCTGCAAGGAAACCAGTGAAGGTAGCACAAGGACTTCAAACCAAGCTTATTCATTCCATTTTTGGTGCTCTCTAGGGCTACGTGGTGTATGCTGCGATGCGGGCGGTTGTTGACCACAGTGTCATCGACAGTATAATCGAAGACATAATGAAGAAATTTTCCAGGAATGCAAAAGCTCTGCTTCACGCAGAGTATAATTTCGTAATGAGGTGCGCAGATAAAGCTTTCCTAAACATAAAAGAAGATTGTAGTAAATACAACGTCACCGTCTTACAGCGCTCTGATAGCCTACATAATGGTTTGCAACGCCACAAGAAATGAGGTCGCCTACAAAACCATTTGTGGCAGTGTTGTGGAGGTGAATACACAATCGATGGGTCTAATCAAGCATACACAAGAGACCAAGGACTACTGGGTAGAGTTCATCTCCCTTTACACATGGGTTTATTATAAGGTGTTTTCTGGCCAGCAAATCAGATCTTTGTAGGTTGCACGCTTTCCGAACCCTAAACAGCGTACAATGTCGCGCGAACTGACGACATGCAAAAGTGGTCTTTTCGGGCTCGACAAGAAGTCGCATCGGTGGTTGCAGTACTACAGAAAACTTCGAGCTAGGTATGCCCCTACTAACATTATCAGAATCTCCATAGCGCCGATTGTCTTTAGCCTTGTGAGCCAACGTGATGACATCAGCCGCGAAGAGGACCAGTTCTTTTTGCTGTGGAGCGGAACGCCTGTGTCATTCTCGTCTGTTTCTCCTCTTCTGAGACGCTTCTTCAAAATTCTCAACTGTGAAGAAATGGCTATCACATGCAATGCGGTTAGTGAGGAACTGTCAATGAATTAATCATTAGGAAACAAGTCAACAATTTGAAGGTGAGACACGCAGCAAGCACTTCACAATTCGACACCTACATGGCTCAGAAGAAAGGAGATACATTGGACCCAGCTGACGCAAATGTTGCCATGTTGATGGGTTAGCCAGTATTTTGCTACCATCATCTTCTGAGAGGAACACTCACATCTTTTCAGGCCACACGCAAAAAACGCAGTTGCTTCACTACGTGGACGATTTCGTAGAGCCTGCTGTGAGAGCATACCGATGTTTACAGGCGATGGCCAGGCGGCAGCAAAACTTGGACGAGAAGGAAGTGTTGGCGGTCAAGCGACGAGTGAAATTCAGAGGGTATGCACGATCACTTAGACTGTTTCGCTCATCCAATGTTTCACTTTTTACCATTCAGATTTCATGTGGTGACAGAAGAATTGTCAGAGGCGGAGGCAGAGGAGGATTGTGGACCTCGGGAACCGATTTCCGGAGGAGAGAGCGAGGATACAGAAGGATCTGACACTGATGACGACGACTATGTCCCCTCAAAGCCAATAGGTACTGATTGTACACCTCAAAATAGCGATTAATCAACTCAGAAATTTGTTCACGTTTACTTTCCTATTTAGGTAAAGTAGGCGACACAACCTCAGTGGAATCAAGGAAATCTCCAAGAAAACAGGCACAACCCTCATCACCAGTTAATGGTACCTATTTCATAGTGTGGTTGTTATTAGTTTCTTAGCGGCAGCAATAATCAGAGCCTCTCGAAAGACAATTTCAGCGCTAAGTTCGGGCGAAAGCGATGAAGGACCAACGATGAAACGATGGAAACCAGTGAAATCTGAGAAAAGCAGTAAATGGAACATCTTAAATTTTGTTCTGCGAAAAAAATCGACAGACGCGGGCGAAACTTGTATGAAGACAAAAAAACAAACCTTTCGCCGCGATTCGATGCTAGAGAAAAGAAACGATGCACTACCTGTAACGCAGTCTGCAAGTCCGTTACAAGAGCTTATATTCCTCAATTAGGGTTATAGGCAAACGTCTACAACTGTTCAGGGGATCCATACGAGTTTTTCGATGAGGACATGGACGCCAACACAGTACAGGATACGCCGGAGCCGTCTGTTGTAGATATGGAAAGGCCAACGACAAGTAGAGAAGGTAATTACATTACGATCCAATGGAATTTATTTCCAGCTCTCTGAGCAATGATTTCAATGGATATAAGTTGCTTTCAGGCAATGCAGACTCTCAGTTTCAAGCTTCGTTAAGTCAGAATATTGCTGACGGAACATCATTACTGAACCGACGATATCGAGCCATGTTAGATGCGTTGCTCGGTAAATACGACGCTAATTTACCGCTTACAGCAGAGCGTCTGCTGCTGTGGGTAGGAGTACAAAGTGAAGTGCAAGGCTACCTCCAACTGGACACTTCTTGTCAAATGGACAGTTTTGAAGCGTTTGTACAGAGCAATTCAAGACTTTGCACTGAAAAGACGATGGTAACGAAACCACTCTTCACTTAGCCTTCTCCTGTAGCTTGTACACAAATTTCTTTTCAGGTGGATCCAGTACTCAAAGTTCTCGAGTTCACAGAGTCCAATCAGCTATGTAAACTACTTGGTGTAGCTTCAAATGTCGCCTACCGGAGAAGCGCCTCAGTCGTACTGTTGTTAAAGTCTGTGAATGATCAGTCAGCAACGATAGTGCTGCCGGGTGAACTGATCTCTCCGCGGGCACCGAAGGCGTACAGCTCATGCGTGGGCTTTGTTGATGGCGACGGAGGAAAATGCTACCCGGTAAACCCTACTAACGTACAACTGATTTACCTAGAGCAATTCGCGCTGTTCTAGGTTCGCGCATGTACTCCTGAGACTGAGGAACCGACGCTTGCTGAGGAGTTCGGCAGTGGAGAAGTGCTGCACTTCAGGACGAGAAATGATGAAATGTGGTTTGAGCTGCTTTCTGACCCGCGGTTGAAGCTGCAGCACGCACTCGAGACCATGCGTCAATATCACGTACTGCAGCATCACTAGGCATTGTGGGTTCTATGTAAGTATCTCCTTTCATTATTTTTCGCACTTTTTCTTTATTCACGCTTTACTTTGCGAAAACTACTAGTTCTAGTAAGCAAGTAATCAAGGTAGAGCAAAACAGCGTAGAGTGACGTTATTCAAATTAATCGATTAACCAAATAATCTAGCAACTTCGCCACCGGTGAGAATTCTGCTTTTTATTTTGATAGTGCTTTTAGTTTTGGTTCTTTTTACTCATTATTGCTTTTGTTCCACTTCTTTTCAGGGCATCCAGATCTGTTGTAATTATGTATAACTTCCTATTATTCATTTTTGTTGAATTTTGCTTCGTTCCTTGCTGGGAAATGCTTTTTATATCTCAGAAAATAGGCTACTACATCTTAAAACCGAGTAACAGGTTGACACATTCCGTAAATATAGGAATTCTGAATGAATTTGTATTTTTGTGTGAAAATGTTCACGTTCCTCATTTCAGAATTCTCTAATCTAGGGGATTATAATCGCTTCCAGCAATTCCGCATAATTTTTCTGAAGCTTTTAGGGCTGCTCAATGCATGCGACGATTTCCTTTTTACCAGTGTTTTAACGATGTCACGTTTATGAAGTCGGTGTCAAATATATCTACGAATGTGGAGGCTGTGGCCAAAAGTGAGTATTCAGAAGTTATTGCTGAGGTATTACCCTAGTATTACTCGAAGCATGGCGGCTTTCGAGATAAATTTAATCGAACTGGCGATGTAAGGCTTTTGTCGTATGTTGATACTGCGAGATGTACCATGTTATTTTGTATGCGATGATGGAATGAGGCAACATGAGAGGTTCCGCAGCAACTGTACCCTATTTTAGTCAGGAGACATAGTTTACTGGTCGTCTCGAGAGTGCTCCCTATGAGCAATAGCATTGACCCCAGGCGGGACCTCAATCACGCTTTCTGGACGATTGTGTTATCCGTTACACCACCAGGGATGCCTCTTGCACAAGAAGCTTGGCAGCTTTTTTGTCGTAGCTGACGCTCACACACTTAACATGCGAGCCACTCAGTCATGTCGCTAGATATCGGTATTGATCCGCGAGGCCGAAGGTTCCACAAGAAATGCTATTTTTGCGCTTAGCCATTCGTGGGTTTGTGGAATCCGTTTGCTTTGTCGCTCGCAGTTGTCAGCCTTTCGAGGTGTTTTCGATTGGTCTTTTTTCTCTGCGTGTTTTTAAAGTCTGTTAGCCTATCCAGGTTCGTATTTGACTGAGCATCGCTAAAGCCATTTCACCCTTGACGCTCTTGCGAAGATTTCCCTATTACCAATAAGGCAGCGTTCATACTTGTAGCGCTACAGCGTCGCGCTACAGCGTCGCGCTACAGCGTCGCGCTACAGCGTCGCGCTACAGCGTCGCGCTACAGCGTCGCGCTACAGCGTCGCGCTACAGCGTAGCGCTACAGTTGTACCGAACTCCAGCTTTTATGTTTTTTCTTTCTATATCATCCTCTTCTCTTTGTTTCTCATATTTATCTGATAGTGAGCTCCTGTTTTCTACTTTATCACATTTTAATGTAGTTTTTGATACAGAAGACTGTGATAATTGGTTTTATTTATCGTTTTTGACTTTAATTATTTGGTTTCACAGTTGCTTGATGTTTGATGGCTTTGCTTGATGTCTTGCAGTGCTGCCTCGTTTTGATCCCGATTGCGAAACTACATTAAAATGTGATAAAGTAGAAAACAGGAGCTCACTATTAGATAAATATGAGAAACAAAGAGAAGAGGGTTGAATACAGAAAGAA